TCAGATTGGATTAGGGCCTACCCTAACAGCCTAATTTTAACTTACCTCTTTAAAGGCTCCAGCTCTAAATACGATCCCATTCTGAGACACTGGGGGTTAGGGCTTCAATATACAAATTTGGGGGAATAATTCAGCCTATAACAGGGCTGATCTTTGCCAAATGTTGACAAATAATGCCCATCCTTGTTTATTAGGGGCTCATGCTTTGGGTCGGGACAGTCTCAACCAGGGGCAATTTTTCCTCCTAGGGGACATTTGGCAATGTCTGGAGACAGTTTTGGTTGTCATCATTAGGATGAGGAGTTGTTATTGGCATCGAGTGGGTAGAGACCAGGGATGCTGCTAAGGATTCTACGATGCCCGGGACAGCACCCGCCACGCAGTAACAAAGAATGGTCTGGTCTCAAATGTCGGTCAACATTGTACAGAGCGTGAGAAACCCTGGGTTAGAGAGACCTCAGTTTGCATCCCGTTGTGATCCCTAATAGATGTATGACCTTGGAACATTCTCAACCTTTGTGAACATCCTTATCTATAAAGTCCCAGCAGTGGGTTAAATGAGATAATCTATTACAGCTTTTAGCACATAGCCTGACTGCTTTGTAGGTTTCTCAGCCACCGACGCCCAAGCTGGAATGAGCACTGGGAGTATCTAGCATGAGGAGAGAGGAAGGGCCGAGCCAGGTGTAGGTAGGTAATTTTGGCCACGAGAAGGTGAAGGCCGTGACTTGCAGAAATATTTTGGATTCCATATTTTCTTTGGATGTTTTCCAGTTTCGAATATGCCTACTTCATTGGGCAAGACATGGCTCGGTTTAGGGACATCCCTTTCTCTGAATGTAAGAAGTTACATCATGCATTTCCAGTATCTGTGCAACTCGCTGCTGCTTCCTTGAAATCATTTAGAAGGAGACTTGTCAGGCGCTCAGACTCCTCGCTCACAGCCTCAGGCCCAGAAGGCCCCCGGGGGAGGAGGGAGAGACAGAGAAGTAGAAGACATCTGTTTGAGGGAGGACTATTTGACATGCACCAACATCCTCAGAGTTTTCTACTAATTAAAAAAGTTATTAGAACGCATTTCTGTATCAGACTCTGCACTGCGTACTTGCAGCAAGAAAGATATAAAGTGGTAACAGTTTTGTGCTCCCTTTCATTAACTACCCCCCACACGCACCAGGTGTGGTCCGTGCACCAGCAGCGTTTGCCTGACGGGCGGAGCTGCTCAGAGAGGCAGGATCTTGGGCTCCGCTCAGGGACCTGGTGAAGCAGAACCCGCATTTTAACAAGCCCCCAGGTGATGCCTACGCAGCATGAGAAACGCTGCTCTACACTGTGTGCTCTTTCTCCCTCCCCTTTTGGCTGGAATCTTACCTCTGTTGCCCTTGTTTAATGGATTTCTTCCTGGCTTCATGGATTTCTTGTACTCGTGTCTTTTATTGGGAGCCACCTCAAATCCTTTTTGGGTCTTGATGGGGTATAAACATTTAGTAAATCTAAAGTGCCAGCTGTCTTCCAAACCAGGGTTTGGAGTACAGGTGCTTTCATATGTTTTAGAGTAGATATTTTTATAATAGCTTTGTGAAGAAGCAAGAGGAGCAGTAAGTAGTTTCAACCCAATTCAGTGGTAATCAGTAGCTACCACGAATTGAGCGTCTACTGTGTGTTAGCACTGGAAATGCAAACGCACTTAATCCTCACACAATTCTATGAGCTAGGTGTTTTTATCTCCATTCTACAGGTCACAACAGGGACTCAGGAAGGTCATACGCCTCAAATGAGGAAGGAGGTGCTAAGCCGTGGCTTCTAGTGCTTCCCTAGCTCCTATCACCACCATCAAACTGCCCACTAAAGTTTAATCTAATAAGTAATAATACAGATGCAATAGTCTTGCATAAAATTGTGCATAACAAATAAAATCGTGCCTGCTGTACAAATGTGCTTCGAGATACTCCCTCCGTTTCCACTGCTTATTCTCCCACTACCCTTCCAAAGAGAACCGTTGGGGCGAAGCTGCCCCCAGTGCCACCTAACTCCACTGCAGTGCCTCCAGGTTTTCGGCTGGAAACTAAGGAAGAGAAAGCTCTAAGTTGCTTGCCAAGTGCTTTAAAATCAGGAAGGTTTGGGAAATTTTCTACAGCATCGTAACGGACCTTCCAAGGAGTCTCTCAACTGGCTGTTCTGTAGTCGCCTCCTCTCTGGTTCCTTCAAACAGAAGGAATGTGATTGACTATCCTGGGTCATGTTGTTCCCCTTCAAGGCTGTCCCACAATGTCACAGACAGAGAAACGAGGCACAATGGGTGGTGGGGGAAGATTTTGCCTTTGCATCGGCAATAGGACTGTAATTTTAAAAGCCAACGTGACAGCGGCCTACAGGCTTATTCTCTTTCCATGATGCTCTGAGCAGGGGGGAGGGGCCAGCACCAGTTTCTGCGACTAAAGAAGGGCTGCAAAGACCTGGGGTGGAATGAAATCAAGAGCGCCAGCTGTGCAGGTGCAGCAAGGGATGGCAAGGAAAGCTGGGGCTGGAGGGTCAATGGAGTTAGAATCCTGGCTTTGCAGCTTCCTGGAAGCTGGGTCTTGGGCAAGTTGTGTGTAGATAATTGAGTATCTCAGGCTTTTAGAAAAAAATTTAAATATTTAATGGATGAATAAAGATAGAACAAATTCAAGGTGTACAATGTGATGATTTGATACATCGTGTAATGATCACCAAGATCAAATTAATTAACGCATCCTTCACTATCTATGCTATACACCAGATCTACGGGGTTGTTCATCTTATAACTGAAGGTTGTACCCATTGACCAACATCTCCCCTTTCCCCACTCCCCAGCCTCTAGCAACCACCATTTCACTCTCTGCTTCTATGAGTTCCACTTTTTTAGATTCCACATTTAAGTGAGATAATGCAGTATTTGTTTTTCTGTGTCTGGCTTACTTCACTAAGCATAATGTCCCCCAGGTTCATCCACGTTGTCACAAATGGCAGGATTTCCTTCTTATTTATGGCTGAATATATATATAATCACCCACAACTTCTTTATCCATCAGCCACTCACAGACACGCAGGTTGTTTCTGTATCTTGGCTGCTGTGAATAATGCTACAATGAACACGGAAGTGGAGATGTCTCTTTGAAATACGGATTTCATTTCCTTTGGATATATATACATACCCAGTAGTGAGATTTGTGGGTCATATGATCATAGTTCTATCTGTGTTTTTTGAGAAGCCTCCGTAACGTTTTGCCTAACGGCTATACTAATTTACATTCCCGCCAACAGTGTGCATGGCTCCCTTCCTCTGCGTCCTTGCCAACACTTGTTATTTCTTGTCTTTTTGCTAATAGCCATACCAACAGGTGCAAAGCGATATCTCGTTGCGGTTTTGATTAGCATTTGCCCGATGAATGGTGATGTTGAGCATTTTTTCATACACCTGTTGGCCATTTGTATGTCTCCTTTGGGAAATATCTATTCAGATCCTTTGTCCGTTTTTTATTGGGTTATTTGGTTCTCAGCTTTTTTGTGTAGATGCGTAATAAAAGATCTGGCACACTGTACAGGCTTAGAAAATGGTGGTTCTGATTACACCGATGAAATGACGAGAACTTTAAAAATATCTGAAGGAGAAAATGATAAAGGCCTATGGTTGTTCATCCTGAAGGAGAGAAGTACCTTAGAAATAGTCTTCAAACAAGAATTTCCATGCAGAGCTGGGGCCCACTTTTTCTGTGTTCTGATACATCGAGTATGGAGACCCTGGCCTGGACCATTCAAATGTAGTGAGTAAGACAATGTGCCTAGAAGTTAGACAGCCTGGCTTCCATCTGGCTCAGCCTCATCCAAGCTCCATGGCTGATCAAATTGGCCAGTCTCTCTGAGTCTCAGTTTATTCATCTGTAAAATGGGGATAATAATATGATGGGATTCCAGTTTTTACAAAGACTGTGCTTAATACAGTGCCAGGCGCACAGTTCGTTTGCTGTGATTTACATTTTCCTTTAAATACAAGGCCAGCACCTCCAGTTCTGATCAGAATGCTGTGGAATGGCCTGTGGAAAGATTTTGCAGAATTCCTTTTGAGAAGACATTTAATGAGCAGGGAAGGTTGTCAGTGCGGAATGGTTCAGAGGGATTCCTTGTTGCACTGGAGATCCTGGGGTCTCAGACATGAGAAAGAGCGTACGTGGGTAGCCTAGTGCACCGTTGGAGACAGAGTGCCTCTCTCATGAGCCTCAACTGCAGGGTGTGTCAGCAGGACTGTCCCTAAGAAAACTGGTCATCTATTTTATAGCCTTCCCTGCTGCCATAGTGCCAGTCGGGTAATTTCTGTGTACAACATTTAAAAGTGGATACTTCCAAATTGGTCTCTACTTTGACAGTAGGTTGTTTTCCTGTGTTTTACCAACCTGTGTGATCATAGCTTCTTATTCAGGAAGCTTTAGGGTGGTTCTCGCAAAACAACCTCTACAAACACATGGGTATCATAGAAACAGTGTGATTCTTGTGCTGTCTGCTTTTCCGTTTGTGTCTAACACAGGAAAAGAAATAAGGCAGTCTTGATGATAGTTTAATATTTTTTCTCTTTGCTCCTGGGGCTTATTACCCACCTGAAGTTGTATTGGGGTGGGGGTTACTGTAATTTCCCCCAGTGCCTACATGATAAGGACTAAGCATTCTGATGCGGAGCTGAATGAGCGGAAATAAGTGAACTCTGAAGCAAGTAACAGCCTATTTTTTTCTGAAAATACTTGAGAAATAAGAAACAAACAAAAAAAGGAGAATGCATGAAATGTGATCTGCTATCTCAGATTGTTTCTAAAACAAATTCTTTCCAAAAGTAGAGATGAATTTTTTTTCCTATTCTGCAATTGTTCTGGCCTACATAAATCCAGTGGGCACTTTCAGCTGGGCTGGAATGTCAGAGAATTCCTGGTTTGTCTGGGTTACAAGATATTGTCCTCATTTCTGTTTTTTTTTTTTTTTTTTGCATAAAGGCCGTGATTCAGAACAGCTTCAGTCATTCATTCAGTAATATCTATTGAGCAGCTAATATGCAGAGATGAATGAATGGCGGGCCCTGCAAGAAGACATTCATGACGACTGGGACAGTTGCCACGTGCATTCACCGTTAGCAATGATGGACTGTGAGCACAGGTTTGTGAACACTGAGCAGGGAGCCCCACCTGGCTCAGGCTCTCAGGGGAACTTTCCAAGAGGTGAGAGTTGAGCTGACCCTTGAGGAATGATAAAGAATGATCAGGTAGGTCTCGGTGTAGTAAGTTAGAAAACAAAGGGATTTCAGGGAGAGGAATGAGCATGTGCAGAGAGACAGGTCAGAAAGTGTGGTGGGTTCATGGAGCAGAAATGGAAGGCAAAGCTATTCCAGAAGGCGGTGGGGTGTCATCCATCGAATGTCATTAATTAAATGCCGTTTAGTGCTACAAAAGAAAGAAAGAAACACAGTCTTATGATTCCTTAGTAGATCCATGTTTCCACTAAATTTCAAGACATGTTTTCATATGTGTTTAATCCCGGGTTGAGAAGGGTCTATTGTTCTCTGTTCTCCAGGAAATGCTCCATAGTCAAAACATCACTTGACATTCCATCCCCTCGCAACACCAGGACAGCTGAAGCTGTACTTTGTCTTGTAGTTATGATCCATGACAATTACATTACCAAGAATAACAGTCTTTAGAGCAAGATCGACAAATTTATCACTGGCGTTTAAATCAACGCCCAGTCGCTTAAATAAATATCCGCTTTGCTAAATTACTCTCTCTGTCAGCGTCAGTGAGGAAAGGAGTGCCTGAGAGCTTTGGTCTGACGTTAGAAATGAAAACCCGAGGGATGGGCCAAATGAAAGAGAAATTTCTTAAATAGTTAAAATAGCAATGCTATGGAGTAAGGTGGAGTATTTCTGAAGAACTGCGTGAAAGTATTTGGCTCCAGGGTGCGAACGTGTGTCCCAGTCACCTGGAGGTACGAACTAGGAAGAGAGAATGCGGAAAAAGCACAACCAAACCCATTTAGGCTCCGTGTGTTTGGAGCAGTTGGGAGTGTCGTGAATGCCTCGCAGGTGGCTCTGTAAGCTCTCCCTAATCTCGGATGCACCGTCTGCTTTCTTCTCTCACGACTGCGGCAGCTGTCAGTCCCCGCAGACTTGGCAGAGGGTCTTGCTGATAAGGGACGAGGCGTGAGGCTGAGAGGTCTCATGACTAGCAATTTTCTCTGTCTAATGGGCTGGTCTGCCCTTTAACAAAAGGAGTAGTTGACGTTATGTGATGGTGAACCAGGCACCCACCCTGTGAGATCGGTAGCCTCATCCCCATCTTTGGATGAAAACATTAGAAATTAGTTTAGAGGAGTTTAACTAACTTGCCAAGGTCTGCCCAAACCACGTTTTTACACCATAGCATACTATTTCCCTGTGCTATCTGGACTTGCTTAGGATGTGTGTCCCAACCTCTTAAATTCCTAGACTAGGTTTCTCAGAGCACACTGAAACAAGAGTTATCCAGAGAGAAAGAGAGGTAGGGAGAAAAATGGAAACCCTGTAAGATTTATGCTTAAGATGTCGTGGCTGCAACAGAAAGCTCCAGGAATCTTCCACTGTAAACAAGGTGGTTTTGAGCAAGTCCTTTGACCGCTCTGGTTCCGCATCTGGGTAATTAAGGAATGGGATCAGATGTTTTCTATGGTTTCCTTTGGTCTTCAGATCTATAAATCTAATTTTTTCAGCAAACCGAAAAAGAGGTGGCAGTGGTGGTGGGGAATGTGTAGAATGGGTGTCACAGGTCATTATCTCTTAAATAATTTAGTTTTGGGGTTCCTATTACTGGAATATGTTCACTGGAGCTCTTCAGGCTATAATTGTAAAAACCCAGACTCACCGAAGGAGCTTATATTCACACTGGAGAAGTTTACTGATTCATGATGGGGGCACATCATGAAGTCCAAAGACCAGGAGGCAGCTAAGCTTCAGAAAAGGATTCTGCTACTGGGACACTGAGAACCCCCAAATCTCCGCTCTCTTGGCCTCTCTTCTCCACCCCTCCTGGACACTTGTATTCTCTTTCTTGAAGAGTATTCTTCCCTGTTTACCTGGCCAGGTGGCAGAAAATGACTCTCTCTTAGATCTGATTGAAATTTTGTAGGGACTGATTCCCCCAGTTTGGGTCCCATTGGACCAATCAACTGCAGCAGGGAGAGTCCCGTTGTAGGGACAGGCAGCTGTCATGCACCTTTGAGGGGACAGTAGAGCCATAAACTGGATATCAAGCCAGGTTGAATCATTCCAGAAGGTGAAAACCATGGTTCCCATTTATCCAAGGTGATGGCTAAGAGGAAGAGATGTTGAAGGACTTACACACACTCCTATAGCTATAACAGAATGGATTCAGAATAGAACACAGATCTTGGCGTTTAGTTCTGTCTGTCTACTTGAATATATTGAATTATATCTCATTAGGGAATCTAATAACTTATTTGAGTAGACTCTGTGATCACTTCGAGAAGTAATTCTACATATTAGAAGAAGGAATGGAAATGAATTATTCCCCTTACTCTCCCCAAAAGCTATATCTTTTCTTATGCACATTTCATTGGTCCAAAGTATAATTAAATTGAAATTGTTGCCCTCCACAGTAAACTTTCATGCACATCCTAACTTTATAAAACTGTCAGAAAAGATTTTATCATACAATTTTAGAGGTGAGCAATAAATCGATCCCACATTTCTTACAAATCTTAAATCTCACACCTCCTAGTCCTCAGATGAGGCCTTCTTGAAGGGCCTCCCGTCCCTTCCAATAGGATGTGATCTTGTTTGAGGGACCCAGGCACTTGGAACTATGGAAGAATTTTCTTTGTGTGAAACTTAGCTTAAACATGCTCTGTCACGCTTGATGGAGTTGTTTATGGGCTACTTCCTTTCAGCCCCAACCAGCAGGCCCATGGCCACATTTCACAAGCTATTAAAAACATGAGTGCTCTCCCTTTTTGTGTGTGTGGCATCTAACCATTTATTTTGAATATTACATATTTGGAAAAGCATTCAAAACAGAAAATGACGGCTTTGGGGGGATTCTGACTGTGCCCTGAGTAAACGAGATCTATAATCTGAAACATATTCACATTATGCAGGAATGATGACCATGGCCTGTTCTGTTGCCACGGTTTTTACCAATATTTGAAAGCTTCATTTTTCTGTTTTTAGGGAATTATGTTTTGATTTCTGTTTTCCATAGACAGTAGCAGACACTCACCTCCCTTAATCATTCATGACCTTCTCTCACTGTTTTTATTTTGGCTCCAAAGAGTTTCTCTTCCTCCACAAATACCCTCCAGAGCATACAACATTTTTCTCAGTATCGCTTAAACCAATGCAATCTTTTGTGCATCAACTACATTCTTACCGTTTATGAAACACTCTCAGGAACAGTTTATCATTTGATCCTCTCCTAAACCCTGTGAAATAGTTATTGTTCTCCCCTCCATCCTACAGATGAGGAAACTGAACTTCAGAGAGTTCCTGAAGGTCACACAAGGTAGAATTAGTGCCCAGGGCCTCATCTATAGAGCCTGTGCTACTTAGTCATTCATTCATTCGGAAAGTAATAATTTAGCACCAATAATACGGCAAATATGTCCCTGCCTCTAGAGGCTCATGGGAATGCAATGGGATGCCTTAGGCCTTCTGGCAGGGTTAGTGCATTGGGTTTGCTCAAGGAGGCGACAGCCAACTGTGATTGTGCCCAAGAGCACATCTGACTAGGCTGTTTACACTGCCTCACACTCTCAGCCGTGCCTTGCACTAGGCATGTTGCTTTTCGAGTGAGGGCTAAAACCGATGTTTTGATGCAGTATTTTAAGAAACCAACATTAACGCAGAATTCCACGATGAACAAAATATCAAGATTTTAAATAAGGACCAGATGCTTACAGTGCCCAGAGAGACACGTGGAAGCATGAGGCCAAGGGAGCATCTCGTGCTCCTTAGCTAAAGTGTTGAATCCTATCTAGGATTTGCTCTTTATTTGGCCTTATCATTTCCCAGAGACCTCAAAACTCTCCTTATGCTTGTCCTCAGCAGGTCTCCCTGGGAAATCTCTTTTCTTACTTTAGGAGCATGCCTTACTGTTCATGACTATCCCCAGATTTGGAAAACCCAACGTTTGATTTCCAAGGAAACTGCAGAGTCTGGAAAATGTCTCTAAGGTTTTCCTACACTAAGTGGCCATTCTGGAGAGCTGGGAAGACAGAAACAGCTGTGGCTTCCTGGGCCTCATAAGCCTGCTAGAAATCTCATTACAGTTCTGGATGTGGCAAGAGGAAGCAGGTGTCTGGAGATCTCTGCTTTTATGAATTTTTGTTTGATCCCAGAGCCAGAATTCAAAAGTGTGCTTCATTCTCACTACTTATGTTTGACCTGTTTTGGATTAATGATAAAAAATGTTTAGTTTATTTATAACATCTTCTTTATAGATTTTGAAATGCATGACAGATATTAACTCTGGAAAAATAAAGTGAGGTGGGATATGAGGCTTCCCTGTTTGATGTTACTTGACTGACTCATAGGTTTGCTGAGGCCCCTTTTCAGTTAGTTGCTAATTAGATAAAAGAAGGGGGAGAATTGCAGGGCATCTGATGTTATGAAGCTTTCATGGGATGTTATGGCTGTCCATTTCTCAGCTGGGGGCCCCAGAGCAGGTGAACAAAAGCCTGCATGATATAACATATACAATTGAAGTGCCAGCTGTTTTCCTATAGATTCACATCTTTCTAGAAATCAACATCTTTCCATGAATAGCTCTTTTCAACCAGGCCCTCTTAACATTTGCCTTCTTGGGCAACCTATTGTCTCACAGCTGCTTCGAGACTGTCAGCTCACATTCCCTACAGAGTGACCATATTTTCTGAACCCCAAATTTGTTGAACCACAGTTTATGAAGTGTGATCTTGCATCGGAAGAGAGTACCTTACATCAGGAGTCTCTAGGAAATTCAGCAGGAATCTATGTATCTCTGATAAGTATGCAGATTCAAAAATTATTTATTGATTTTGTTACTGTATTAGTACTTCTATTGATTTGCTAAGTGACAGTGATAGATGGTTTTCTGGAAGACCAAGAATGATAAGGAAAAATAGATGATGCA